GCCACGCACCGGCCGGCGGGCGACCTCCACCGTGGGCTTCCGTTCCAGATTCGGACATCATGCGCACGGCGACGGAGAGAGGAGAAGGTATTTGGTGAGATGCCTTATTTCACTGCTTCTCTTTTGCACCATTCCGATGGTTTTTCATCTGCCTCTCCGTAGTAATTATGAGATGTGGAATTAATTATTATAAGAGCAAGAGTTGGATGTGAATAAAAAGGAAGGGAGCGGAGAGATTCAGATTCATATTATAAACTCGGACGGTCCCATTGTATTTTTTACCACTCGCGAATATCCGAAATTGCGTCGAACCCTTCCTTATTCACCTCCTCGGACCTCTGCGACGATGGAGGCGTCCGAGCAGAGATCGGCACCCGGAGTTCTTGTGGTTGGATCCTCCGGCGTCGGCAAGCGTACCCTCCTCTCTCGTACGCCCCCCAATCTACTTCTTGTCTTTGTCTCTGCATCTGATCTCATCTAGGGTTTGGGTTTTCTGTAATCATCGTACATCGTTACAGGACTTCTCTCGGTGGACTTGGATGATTCCTTGGACGCATCTGAGATTGCAGTTCAAGGGTGAATTTCTCCTTCTCTTCGCCTTTTGGATTCATACATATGATCTGATCTCATCTCAGAGTTTGTGGTTGATACAGGTGGAGCATCAACACCAAGTATTACACTGCTGATGTCTCCGTGTGGACTGCGCATCTTGGCCATGATTTCTCTCTACCCTCCTCCACCCCTCTGGTTGCGTTGGTTATGGTCTTCGACTTGAGTGAGGTTTAACACCTTCACTCCCGCATGCCTATTCAAACTCTTCCCTCCTCACTACCATATCATCCGCCTAACGCTTCTTCTTTGCAGCCCTCCACTCTTGCTGCTCTTCAAGACTGGGTTTCCCGTACTGACATTAAGACATTTGATATCTTGCTCTGCATTGGGAACAAAGTTGATCGTCTCCCTCACCACCCGGCTCATCTCGAGTACAGAAGACGCCTTTTGAAGGCCAATCTCGACGATCAATTTGGCATCTCTGACACTGAAGGAACTGGTTTGTTGGGAGGCGAGGACCCCTCCCTAGACGTCAGGGCAACTTGCCTAGATTGGTGCCGTGACAACAATATCGAGTTCATCGAAGCTTGTGCATCTAATCACGATTTTGACAAATGTATGTTCTGCCTCATCATTTACCTTTTTTATACCCGTCTTCCACATTCATACGCTGGCTTTCTATTTTCATGTACAAAGCAGTGAAATGAGTCAAGATATGAAAACACCTGTCTGGCCATGAACTTGACCGATGGTTTTGCAGGTCTGTCGGTTGATGGAGATTCTCAAGGGGTTGAACGTTTATTCGGTGCCCTTTCAGCGCATATGTGGCCTGGAATGCTTCTCAAATCGGGTGATAAGATAAATGAACCTGTTTTACCCGACGGTGAAGGAGGTTGTCAATCGTCTCCTTTGGTTTCATGCACTCAAAAAAGACTTTTTTTTTTTTTGAAGTCGTGTTCTAAAAGACACTCGTAATATTTTTCCTTATCATCAGAAGTATCAGAAGAAGAATCAGAATACGAGCTGGAGTATGAAGTGCTATCGGTAGGATCAGCTGAGCCATGGGAGGATGTTTGTGAGAGATGGGTCTCTGCTAGTGAAACTCCTTCAACTTCAGAAGTTATTCTTGTAGATGACAACGGCGAGAAGCTGAAGGAATCTAGCGAGAAGGAGCAAGGCCCATCAGCTTCAAGGATGCAACCACAGAATGATATTGACAATGAAGAAGGAAGAGTTGAGAAAGCAGAGATGGAAAAGTTGTACGAGTTTGAAGACCTGGAGCAGCTGATGTCAGAAATAGGGAACATACGTGACAACTTGAGGTTGATGCCTGATTTCCAGAGGAGGGAAATGGCGGCTAATCTGGCCATGAAAATGGCTGCCATGTTTGGAGGCGACAGCGACAATGAGGATGGGCATGACTGAAGCCTCATAAGACTATGGGTTGCAAGAACTTCATTTATCATTCGCGATTCCTGTTACGAAGCCTTTTGCCATGCGCTGGGTTTCTTTTAGCACGGTTACTCGTACTTTGGTTTTGCTGTCACCACACGCAATTCAGTGTCACAGAACAAAATACTCAATCATATTAGTTTGGTGTTACGGTCGTTGACTAGTTAACCGGAAGAGGCTTTATTCCGGAATATACGAAGGAAACGGACCATTTTCGAGAAGGGAGAGGAGGATGAGAAAGGCATAGACAACGCCGGACACAACCATCTTCTTCTCCCCATAGAAAGCCGGCATGACGCTCCTCCTCGCCCTCTCATGACACCAACACAACCAAGTCCACGTAGTACATTCCACATTTCCTCAGACAAACAAAATAAAAGCCTGCATACATTATCTGAACTTGTTCTTTTGGAGCCCCTAATGCTTTGGCAGCCATTCGGACAAAACACCGTAGACCTGTTCTCTCATGGAGTCTCTGTTACTTGTGCTCAGGGATATTAAACTTGCACCAGGTTGATTCCTCAGTCTTTCAACTGCACAGTTCATTCACCCAAACAAATGAAAATACATGGTTAATGACTCTAAATTGGAGGTTCCAAACTTACAACCAACAAAAGGTTTAAAAATGACTGATTTTTTACAGGGCTAACAACCCCAAAGTTAATAGCCAGTAGTTGTGAGGCAGCAGCAGATTCACTGCATTTAGATGCTATACCCAAGCACGGTCCACATCAGTGACACAAGAGACTTCACACCAGTGGCAGGCAACTAGGGGTGTAAAATGGACTGGCCGAGCTAGGTTCGGACCGTGTTCAATTCGGGTCTAGAATTTTTCGGGTCGGGTCGGCCCACCCGTTTATTTTTCGGGTCTAGGATCGATGGTCCGGAGCCCGGCCCTATAAGGCTTCGGACGGATTCGGACCGGGTTTCGGATTTTTTATCAAATAAAAATATTTTTTTTTCTGCGATAATAATAATACTAATAATAATAATAATGTGAAACATTAAAAAAAATAAACATAATATAAAAAAACATTATATTCTATAATTAATTTGAAACCTATAGAAAAAGAATCAATATGTTCATATGCAAACAAAGATTTAAAAATATATATATTTGAAAGTTTCTACACTTTCAAAAATATAAATTGATATATATATATATGATGTAATATGGTTAAAAAAATAAAAGTTTCTATCACTTAAAAAAATGTTAATTGGAATCAAGATAAAATTTCGTCATTTGGTTAAAAGATATATATATATATATATACAGCACATGTGTGTATGCTTATCGAAGAACAAAATTCAACCCACTAATACGAAACAAAACCAATTCAGACTTAGAAAAAAAATATAAAACAAAAAAACATAATCAAATAGCAAGTATTAGGTTTGATTTAATAGAAAAAATAATACAAAAGAAGATTATCCAATATATGATGTAATATGGTTAAAAAAAATTAGGATAATTATAGAGAGGTAAAGCTTTAGTTTAGACAAAAAGATTAGAAAAAAAATATTAATAGGCCTAAACTCCGGCCTGACTGGCCTGGTCCGACTGGTATGCAGCCCATTTAGCCCGAAGTCTGAAAGTTCGAAATTTAATGAGCCTATATTTTTTTAGGCCCACATCCTTATTATTTTCGAGCGGATTCGAGCTTAATTGACATCCCTATAGGCAAGAAATCCATAACTACAGAGACCATTCAACCAGGTTTATAGACAAGAGGGACAGACGATGATGGCATTGACTAGAAAACCGATATCAATAATGATGGGTGGCTCAAGATCAGAGGCATAAAAGGTTCAAACGGCGGAAAAGTAGCAGCTGCCAGCATATACCAAATCAGTCAGAGGTTGTCAGGTCAGGTTTAATCATAAAAAAAAATGGCACCCTTGTAAAACTTGGACAAGTATAAGAGCAATCTAATCGTTTTCAAACCCAGCACTAACAGCTGCACATGAAAATTTCAGCTTTCAGCTGGCATTGGCATCAGGATTGGACCCAAAAACTGACTGAAAGTGGATACAGTCAAGGTTGAAGTATAGAGAAAAAATATTGATCATTTGGTTCGACCATCCTTTCCAGCCGAATGCTGATTCCAAGAAAAAGAAAGAAAGTGTAAAGTAAACACAAGTACCTCCAGGGATAGCTCGACCAAGTTTTGGGACAGGAATGGAAGCCAGAAAAGGGATGTTGGATTCCAGAACCTTCAGGACAGCCGGGAAGAAAGATGGACTAAACATCTCCATCTTACCCACTTCATCAATGATGAAAAGATGAGTGTCAGCTTTGACCTAACACAAACCAAAATGATAACAGATCAGTATCTCCGACTGCACTGTGCTTTTGAGAATGGAGAAACATAACCTGTAGCTCAGGCAACGCAATGGACTCGAAGGAAGCCACGTCCACTTTGTACCTGCCAACACTAGGCCATCTCATCGACTCTGGACTGCCATCACACGAGTATTCACGATTTAGGCAAAAACAGAGGAACCACAACAGCTAAAGGCCAATGAAAAAGAAGGTCGACCTGGAAACGGTAGAGGAAGCGAGCAAACCTCTGCGGCCATCCAAGGTCACCACTTCGAACCCAACCCTTTGGCCTCTTTCTCTCACCTCCTCTGTGACCCACACGTGGAAATTGTGAGGAGAGCGATAGAGTTCAGAAGAAAACATAACTAAAAAGCGGGGAGCAGCTTACGGGTGTAGAAACCCTGGATCTTCAAGTTAGGGTTTGAGAGCCTAAGCGTCTCGAGGATCCTTTTTATCAGAGTGGTTTTGCCGACACCCTGCCAAGATTCGATTCATTGCCATTAACCAATTCAGAGAAAAACCCTAAAAGACAGTGGAAGAGAAACTTACAGGAGGACCGGTGAGGAGAAGGCATTTTCCGCTGCTTGACATACTGCGTTGCGTGCTATTTGGAGCGGAACCGAAAGCCTAACAGCCGGACTTGGGAGCATACGCAAAAATAACACAAACTGCACGGTCTAACGAGAAAAACTAAAAAAAAAAAGGCACGTTGGCCGACCTTTTAAGACCGACCGCACACTCCATAAACAATCTTTTGAGCCGAAAAAAAAAGACAATGCATCAGGACCGAAGAATTTCTCAATAAGAATGTAAAATCTACACATCCAACATAGTCAGCCAGAGAAGGAAAGATTAAAAAAAAGGGGAAACTAGCTACTGCTGTGAAACCCACACCCTACACCAGCCTTCCTTCTCAGTCTCCCACAGCTTCCTATTCTTCATCCTCCTCTCCCTGCAAGAGCCAAATTGTCAAACAAGGACGACCATCAGCAACTCATAGCAACACCGTACAGAAACACCCACCTCCCCACTTCCCTCTTCCTCCACTTCAGACTTTGACTTGTCAGAATCATCACCTTCTGAAGGATTAGATCCTCCGGCCTATTATCACACCACCCAATCATTGCTGTTAAGACAATCCTTTCCACATGCACTATACTACTCAAGATCATGGTAGAGGATTACCAGCTTCATGTTGTAAGTTCGCATGTTTTTGGTGTATTCACTCTTTTTGTCCTCTGCCTTGGTCACATAGGGCGCTTTTTCCTAAATTTTAGTAAAAGAAGAAACTGCTACAAACCCACGACAGAGTATCCAATTTGTAACCAAGCAGGAAGAAGAGATGCTGCGACTCACAGCATCAGACATAGACTTCCACTTATTTCCAGCAGCTTTCCCGACCTGATTCGAAAGGCAAAAGGAAATACAGTGCTCATCAGATTCAGCGAGAACAAACAAATATTGCCGACAACAAGGATACTCACAGCAGCCACAGACTTATTGCCAGGATTTGCTTCATTGAACTGCTTCCTGAATTCGTCCCTTTGAGACCCAAAATTAGAAGCAAAGAGAAACGTCAGAAGAAGAGAGTGGAACAGGAGACTATGAAGGGGGCAATCTTACAGGAAAACGAAGAAAGCACTGGGAGGCCTCTTGGGCTTGTTCGGATCCTTTTCTTTCTTCCCAGCTTTCCTACCTCTGGCTTTCAGCCTGTACCGGCTAAAAAGAAGAATCAAGCGCAAGCAAAATAACTAAACATGCGCATCTGTAGCCAAAAACGGATCTCGGTAGCAATGCGGAAGTCAACAGTTCACAATCATACGGTAGAAACGAATTGAGAGAGAAATGAGGGAAAGCGACCTAGCATCGGTGCTACTGGAATCGGCCTTTGGTCTACCACGCGTCATGACGGATCCTGCAAACGCCGGCCACAGAATACCCTTGGGGCTTGAGAGGAAGAATCAAACGATCAGTAGCAAGGGATGAGATTCAGATTTTTTTTTTTAAAGAAAATTGAAATGATGCGTTTCGGCGGGATTCTGGAAAAAATAAGCGCCACGTCTTGCTTTTTATTTAGGCCCAGTCTGGAAATCTCGTGGCCCATTAAGTTAATGGAAGAAAAAAAAAATAAGCACCACGTGTCCGCACTCCTTATATTTGCAATAAAAGATAAAGACGGACTGATCTCACCGCATTGGGGGGATGGTTTTGGAGAGGAAGTATCCAAACGAACGAATTAGCAACAAAATTTGAACCCTTTGGAATGCTGTTATTGATGACGCTTTTCTCCACCCTTCTTTTCTATATATATATATGTATGTATGTATGTATGTCCTAATGCAGTCAAACGTGGCCTGGTCATTTCAAAATTGAATATACAAAAATCATCAGAGCTGTTTTGATCTCCTGACATCGTAACATGACCTCTCTCTCCGCCCATGGAATCAAATGATTTAGAACTCCACGACTCTGCAAACGTATTTGCTAACTCTTGTTGACAGTATCAGCCAAGGTGCTATTCCAACCTGCACTTCCCAAGCAAGAAACCGAACTACTCATCTATCTACCCAATAGAATTTCAGCAGAAATGAATATATATATATATAGAAATCAGAGAAGAATGGGTGACCATCACATGGCCGTTCAGGTGCCCTCCAGTCCCCAGAGATAGAAACGACCCTACAACAAGGTGGATACAGTCAGTGTCACCCCAAATTACAGCAGCTTAATCGAAAAACATATGACGGCCACCGAGCGCTTCTTGTCTTTTATGTATATCAAGAAAGCTGCATCGAGCTTGCCAGTGATAGAAACCGCAATATACCCACGGCAGATAAATACATTTAGCATTCAAGAACAAAACAGGTGAGGGTCTCACCAAAAGGTTGCACCAGCTGTTTAGAGACAATGGCAATTGGGGTCCTCCAGAACCAAACCCCCAAGGATATATATATCACAACCTACACATAACGAGTGAGGGGTGGAGACTCGGTAAATGAATGACTCAGATGCAGTTAACAAGTTCGACCACACGAAACACTCACCTTTGAAACAAGCAGAACCTTTCCGTACAGATCGTAACACTGATTTATTTCTTTCTTATCTTGCTCCTGAACTGAAACTCAGAATCATATATTATACAGTTTCATTAGTACATTATCAAGAAATATGCAATGTTTACCTGTTTATTTAAGAATAGTAAAACATGCCTAGAGAGAGACTGAACTACATGCTACAAAATCAAACTGGTAGGGGATGTACGTTTTGAGGCTTGTCTTGGACCTGTTTATGTTTTTTTACAAAGTTTCCTGCCCTAGATATCAGCTATAAACCTTGTAACACTAAGCCAAATGGTTCACATCCAACGAAAAAAGAGTTCTATATCCTAAGGTAACGGTAAGATGGTTAGTGATGCAGGAAGGTTCATGTATTCCTGATAATATTCATTTCCATAGCTAACTATGATTAGGGTTCTGAAATGACAATGAATGATTGTCTAACCATGAAATCTCGGCAGAACAAGATATATATATACACACCACAAAAGTCAAGAATTAACAAAAACGAAGAATATGTGATATCAGAAGCGAATTTATATCAAGAACATACGCACATTTTGCAAGTTCCCTTTCCTTGGCAGCTGCCAACCTTCTAAGTTTTGCCGCTTGTGCGAACGTGGATGGCCTACGAGGAAATAGGAAACCTCGATATGGGTTACTCACGCATGCGTCCTCATTATATTCCTAATCTCTAAGAGATGCAAGCGAAAAAGATCCTCGTGCGCCAAATAAACAAAAAACAAGAGGCCCTTACTGGGAAAAAGAGCTGGCCTCTTTCAAGAGCATCTTAATTTCGGATCGCAACTCATCTTCCCTCGTATTACTGGTACTGGATCCTTTCTGGAGAGAGAAATCGAATTCCTCCGATCTCAGAGAGATAGAACGCAGCATTTGGAATAATTCAGGGACAAAAGGTTACCTTCTTCACTTGGTCGAGCCACATAGATAGGAACCGGAAGAGGACAACGAGGAAGAAGGTGAGAGGAGCGACGAAATGGCCGCGACTGTGAACCAGGTTGTCTCCTTCTCCCATGGATTTCGTTGATGATCGATCTGGAATTCTCTTCTTGGAGAAGCTCGGCAATTCTCTTGCACGGAACCTTTTATAATTGGGCTGCGTTTACAATCTCTTAAAGCCCAATCCTCAGCCCATCCGTTCCTTATTTTAGGAAAAGTATTTCTGAAAAAAAGGCAAAGGTTTATAATATATGTGAAAGACCATGTTACATTTGCAGTCTAGTTAGTGCTTCATACTTTTATCAACCACAAGTGTGTGAATATATATATATACATACATATGTATATCAACTGTGACTCAGATTGTAAGTAGATCATTTCACCCTTGACTTTATTCACTGCACTTAAACTTCAATGTAGAAACCGATCATGACAAGGAGATTAAAAAGACAGGTCAAAGCGCTCTTACAATAAATAAATCATATATTTTGAGTGTTACATGTATGTTGTAGCTCTCCAATCCATCCAGCTTACGAGAAGGAGAATCTTGACAAAAGAGAGAGGCCAGAACCATCATTAGCAGAAGCTGGACTCACGTCCATGGAGCTGTGGTAGGCTTGTTGGCATTTCTGCATCTGCAAGATGGCGACCATTCTATTTGTTACTACCCATCATACAGTAGAACGCTATCTGCCATTTTCGTAAAAACCTAACCTCCTCGGGGCTGAACTGGAGCAACATTCCCACAACTGGTAGTAATGCCTCCACTTCACCTGTTCCAATCATCACGTCTTTTAGCCAAAATGCAAAGCCTATAACTTGCTACCAAGGGGGACGATCCAGTAGTCTACCTGTCTCCAGAAGCTTTAGAATAACATTCTTAAGGTACGTCATGTCCACACCTTCTCTCTTCTGTTTTCTTTCCATCTCCCGGAGCTCCGCCTTTAGCATTGCTTCCTGGAATCAGCACCACAATCAAAATATGAAACAATAACTCAAGAAACCATGCTTTTTTCATCCCTTACCTGTTGACTGTGGAGACGATTTTCGCGCTCAAGCTCCTCGATTTCCTCCTGAATCAGAATAAAAGGTAAAAAAGGCAAGGTGAAATATGTTAAAGGAAACAAGGTACAGATCTGGGAAAGAGACAAAAATGTTACTTGAAGAGCTAAAATATGTCTCTGTGTCTGTGCCAGCTCTTCCTCTCGCTGAGCTTGTTGTCTTGCCAAAAGCTGAAATATTGAATTATCATGTGCTATGTAAAACTCCTAAATAGCATTTAACTTGCCTTTTGCTTCAAAGATGATTCCGCATCAAGCACAAAGATGATCAACATGCAGTAGCCAATTCATTTAAAACTACTAACTCCGTACCAGGATCTGTTGTTCTGCGGCAGAAGCACTCAAGTTCATCGCATCCTGCTGTTGTGACACTAAGACACCAATGGAAAGAATATTAGGTTAGGTGATCAACATGCAGTAGCCAATTCATTTATGCAAGAACCAATCTAACAAAAAATGGTACCAGGAAAATCACATACCTGTGTGGTGGTTATCATATTGCTGAACCTGATTTGGAAGAAATCAGACCGGTCAGTGCCACATAAAGGGAAATAATTACAAGAAGATATCCCCAATCAGAGAAATAGGAAAAAACTAAGAGAATGCAAAGAAAAAATCTACATACTAGTGGTCTCTGCTCTAGAGATCTTTGAAGTTTCTTGTTCTCATTCACAAGTCTTGAGATCTCTTGATCCTTCTCCTCAATGTGTCTATCCGCAAGCTCACGTAACGAGTCATGCTCCTCCTGCAAGTTCCTTGTCAATTAAACACATAAGGCATCACAAATTTTTCTTAGCAACATCAACGCACAAAAAGAGCGAGGCAGAGATGTGATGAACCTTCAATCGTTTATTTGAAAGTTTGACATCTCCTAATTCCTTCTTTAGATCTTCCACAGAAGAAGCTTCATTTTGAGCAGTTAAAACCTCACATCTTCCTGTAGAACATCATAATATTTAAAGGCGCATGCTCAATTTCCAAGCACTTTTCAGGGAAATATAATATAAATCTCAGCGACCACAATTTGATTTAATTTGATTCTTACGCCGCCATGTTTCTTCCAAAACTTGAAGGTCCTCTTCCCAGGCTCGTTTCTCTGCTTGATGGCGAGCAATAGCTGAATCAAACTTTAATTCAATACTTTTTATCTGGTCCCTGGCATCTTTAAGTGCTGCAGTTCTGAAATTGATGTGGAATTAAAATTACTCAGAACTATTATGAAGCTTCGTGGACGCCAAAGAGAGAGATTTTATTTATATATATATATATAGAGAGAGAGAGAGAGAATCCAGGGTGGAAATTGCTACCTCTTCTCAAGTTCTTTCTCACGCTCAGCCAAAGCATTCTGAAGATCTTGTCGAGCCCTATCCCTCTCTGCTGATACCAAAGATATTTCCCTTTCAGCTTCCTTACATCACCCAGAGGTAAAAGTAGTTGATAAGCACATTGATATCCTTCTCAGAAGAATTAGCTCCTCGAAATTTAAACTGCAGCTGCTAAACTATGTACCTTCAGAGCTTCCTCAAGAGCTTTGATCTGTTCTGAGTCTCTAGCAGCAGCTAGCTCTGTATCCTTCTTTTGGAGAAGGGCATGAGCACGGATCTTGTAAGAAGAAAACTCGTTTTGGAGATGGTTGATCTGTAAAGTAGAATAGAACCAATAAAAAGTGCACTCTGATTAGAACAGGCCTTTTAGCTACAAATCTGGAGTAATTTCGTTGCCCCAGTCGCGTGGAAAGGTGCAGTTTCATCAGAAACTCCAGATGACTACAGTGCTGACAATCTTAAACAGAATATCCCCCAAAAGCCTCAAATGACTATCTGATACCTTGATAATTCATGTTCTGTATTTAAGAGTTAAAGACTAACTACTGTGCTGATCTATAATAAGGGCATCCATCGCCTCCCAACCCACAAACGAGCTTTAGTATTCCACATAGGAAACAAAAGGAAACTATATACCTCTTCTCTCGCAACTCTTAGCTCAGCATCTTTCGCAGTCAGACTCTGTATTTGAATAGACATTTCAGATTCCAGCTGACCTGACAATTCATTGGAATCAAATTTAAACACGTCAGCTAGAAGGGAAAAACCATAATAAAATAATGTTTAAAAGATGCACCGAAGCAGTAAAATACTTCTCATTTTAGCCATTTCTATTTCAGCATGCATGCAATTGCTCTCAGCAGTCTCCAGTTTGGTTTTTAGGGCATAACATGCAGCTTCCCAAGTCTCCTTTTCTTTCTCCTGGATGCACCAAGTTTATGGATATTAAGCCAGAAACAGACATAAACAACCATTTTAGGGGTGAAGAAACGAACCCTTCGATAATATTTCCCGAGGATATAAACATATAAATTATGTTCACAGCCATTTATACATGCTATCATGTTCATTCTGGCGTAAAAACTATGGAAACAACAGAATAGTAAATCTAATATATTGAGACAGGAACTCAACTGACAAACTGTAGATACAAATACTTCTACAAACATAGGATTAGACCACCGCATCCATGGCTAAATGATATAGGAGAAACGTCAATGCAGAAAGTTAGGCATGTACATATGTGTGTGTGCATACGTGTATAGATATTTCCAAACTTACATGCTCCTGTTTAAAGTCGGCGAGCTCCCCTTTAAGAGTTTCTGCAGCAGCTCTTAGTCGTGCTGCTTCACCAGTCGTAGCTGCCTCCATCTCAGCAATCTTAGATTCCTTCTCTGCAAGAAGCACCTGAAACAGTATAAATGGCTACTACTTAGGCTGAAGGATTAATTAGAAATCTCTTGTCTCCAGTGCACTGAAACCTAGCCAAGGCATGAATAACTGGAATACTTGCAACAAAATAAGAGAATTGAGAAAACAAGTTTAACCTGCAAAGCCGAAACGGTTTCAGCTGCTTTATCCCTCTCATCTAGGGCATCTGAAATTTGTGCTTCCAAACTCTCAGTGTTCTGTCAAAATGATGTAGAGAAGAAGTCCTAGATATCATTGATGATCACCATTTTTGGAGAACAAGGAGAGCAGCTCATAGCAGTTAAGTAGCTGAATGGTTATGCTGATACGGCTACCTTCTTATGCTTAGCAGACAAGTCAGCCAATGCAGTTTGCCTTCTCTCCTCTGCAGCTTGCAATTGCTCTTTTAGGTCTTCCAGCATCTAGGATGAAAGCAAATCAACATGCTAAACAGAATGCACTGACAGCCCTCTCTCTATTTATTGCAGATCCATGCTCAACAAAATGAAAGAATCATACCTGGTCCTTGTCAAGGAGTGACTGCTGCAGTGCCTCTATAGTATTTTCTTTAGGCTGCAATGAGCGGCGCAGTTCCTCGATAGTGTCCCTGAGCCTTTGTCAAAATAACAAAATAAGAGAAAAGGGACTTAAATTGAATAAATTCTAAGCAACAGTTGGAGTTATGTGGAGAACAAAGCAATGTCTCATGCAATCTCAATGGAAAGCATAACCACAAGGGAATTCAGAAGACCATATCAACTGGCCATCTACATTATATTTACTTGTTATTTGCACTTCTTAATTGTTGCCTCTCTGCATCCATGGCTTTCAGGGCTTCATTGGCCTGTTGCCTTGTGCGCTCCAGATCTTGCTGCATGGATGACTGTTGGGATGATGCTCGTTCAGCTGTTTCGTTTACTTCCCGGAAGCGAGCCTCAAGATCATCTTTTTCCTGAAAATGGCAATATAATAGTTAAGACATAAGCTGCAGACAAAGAGAGAATACTCACATACACCTGAAAACTTGCTGCAGCTTGAAGATGATTTAATGCACAACTTACAATAAAGAAGAAAAAATGTAAAACAAAATCACCTTTTGAATTTCTTGAATGCGCTGTTTAGCCCTTTTATGAAGCCTGTTGAATTTGGCGTCAAGTTCTGCATATTTCTCTTCACGCTCTTTTATCTCCCGATCCAGTGTCTGTTGGACTACAGAAAAAAAAAATGGAGGCTTCAGGCAAAGCAAGAAATGGAGATGCAAATGCTGCCGGTTTCAGTTGAAGCGCAAAGGTGAATATAGTTTATCTGACCTTGAGAAAACTTGGCAGCATAGTCTTGGGCTTTAGCATCGGCCTCAGAGTATGCTTCCCTTAGATGCTCCAAGGCTTGCTCAGCCGCTAGTCTTGTTTGTTTTTCTTCATCGAGGTGTTTATCCAATGATGCAACCCTTTCAAGAAGTTGTTTCACTTGAGCTGAGTCTCCTCTCTCAGCTTGACCTTCCATTGCTTCAGGATGAGAGCGGTGTTCTTCTACTTGATTCTTCAACCCCTTAAATTGGGACTTGAGAAAATCATTTTCTAGTTTGAGTTCAGCAACCATTTGCCATAGCTGATCGTGATCCTCACCCAAGGACAGAGTGTTCTCCTTGGCCAGATTATCCTTGTCTGCAACAATAATATCAGGCAACTCGTTTTCAGGCACTGATGAATCTTCTGCTGCTGTATCCATATCAAGTTGCTCGCCTCCAGACATCTGATTAGGATTTGAATCCACTTGCATCCTGATGACACAAAAGCAGACGGGAGCTGCAATGGAGTTAGCGGCTCCCCCAGCCACTTCTCAAGTATCTAGAATTGGTTTAACGAAATTCAGCTAAAATTCTTTAAAACTGGGCGAATAGAGAGCAGGCAAGAGCAACCATTAAGCGAGTCGTCTGATTTGAAACATCAATGGAATCCAAATCAGCCGAGTTAGCCGCAATTTAGGCGAACTTCCAACAAAAACTGGAAAAGGAAAACAAAGAGGATCTGATCGAGAAGCGAGTTGATCTTGATCCTAAAGAAGGGTACCTGTAAATTCTTCGATTTTGAAGTTGGGGGATGCTGAAATCTGGATCTCACGGCAACCGAGGGTCGACTAGAGAGCAAGCGTGCTTGACGAAAAAAGCGCGACGGTAAGAAACCACGCGTTACACGAGACGGTGAAGAAGAGAGTCACATCAGCACTTGTTTTGATTTGCTTTCCTCCTCGATCGCTCGGCGTTCCCATTAGATCCAAGATTACAACATGACCGGCGAGCGCATGCTTTTAAAATCGTCGTCCATCATCTTGTAATGGCAGTAATACCCAGCTGACCGTTGATTTGGGCCTTTCGTATTTTGTATGTGGGCCTCGCTCTATTCTCAGTAAACCCAATTACTGTTTCGAACTCCTCTTTTTTCAGAGCTCTATTGGGCCTCGTGGATCCATACCGTCTCCAATATAATAACACACAGACTTCTATTCTATGGTTTTTTTTTTCTCTAACAAGTCTGTCTTGAAATCCTGAATCCAAACAGAAAAGAAAAGAGGAATATTACCCCTCATGATATATATATATATAGAACAATGAGCAACTCAGTAGTGGATTGCTTTGGTGTGAGTGCGTGGGAACGATAATTTTTTTTTTATATAATTGAAGGTGGAAATGCATACAGACACAAGGAGACAAAAAAAGAATCTCGAGACCAATGGTACCAGATAGATCCTTCTTGCCCGATTCTGAACCATGAACTAGAAAACGTACCACGGAACCACTTTAAGATTCCCGTACAATGCATACTATATAAACAAATATCTTGTGATTGATTATAGAACGTAAAATAATATTAGAAAGCTGGAGAGAGAGGCAGGCACAGAATCTTGTCTCCCGTCTCGAAACAATGTTCGAAACGGCAGCCTTCAATCACGTCATTAATCTGACGGGCAATTGCTTCTGTCCCCTTGAAATAAACTCATTCACCAAATCTCACGGCCAATCACATTTCCCATTTGAGAAGATGAATTTTGTCATGGAAAAATATATTATGGATATGCACGCTTGAACTAATATTGTCTCACACACGAGAGATGGTTATTATACCTCAAGGCACTCCATCTTTCGACGGAAGATTGAAATCTGCCTTCGTTTTTGTTTGGATCTCCATTGCAGCGACTCGTGTGTCTGTTGGTAATATAATGTCACTTTCACGTGCTAAAATTACTGAAAGAACAGCTAATGATATCTCTGTCTGGATGGTGTTTCCTTGTCTCCTAATTTGGTAGACTCTGTTCTGATAACGCAACCGTTCCCAGTGGCAAGTTCATCTCCTATATTATTACACAGTCCTTATCATTCTTCTGTCTCCTCCACTTTGTTTGGTTCATCTCCCTTCACCCAACTACAGCAGCAGTCGAAAGGCTTGAAACTCACCCCATGTGCCTCCTCAGCCCTTTTTTTAAAAAAAAAAATCACCAGAGACATTGAAACAGGGCATCGTGGTCATTTCTGCAGATTTGCTTACCTTGTTTGCTTACAAAACATTTAAAATTTTTAAAATAAGCACAGACAGAAGTTGGGCACCCATGTTGGTGTCACATGTCCTCTTTTAAGTCCACATATATATATATATCTATATATACGCACATTGCTTTCTTGGTCTGTGCATAAATCACAAACAGAACTCAAACCACGTTTTTTTTTTTTAAAACGGAGAAAATGCAACCCATTAGATCAATAAGTCTACCTTCAAGAATCCATCCACCTTCTGTCAAACTCGAGTCTGCAATCGATCAGCTTAACCTCTGGCAAAACTCAACCACTTCTTCCACTTCTCTTCAGCACGGAATGCTGACCCTTGCTGAGCTTTACAACTCCATCCACGACCTCCTTCAATCTCCTCTCCCCACCAACCGCACCCTCGCTCATCTTGCCGAAGACTCTCTCCATGTCTCAGCCACGTTGCTGGACTCTTGCGACTCCTCCCGAAACATCCTCCTGACTCTGAGAGAACACGTTCTGACCCTTCAGTCCTCCTTCCGAAGGAAAGGGCCTTCAGACTCCGCCGAAGAAGTTAACAATTACTTCTCCTTCAGGAGGAAGGCTAAGAAGCAGATGATCAAGCTTCTTCTTGGACTGAAGAAGCTTGAGACCAAACCCTTTTTCTCCGATGCTATTCTACAGAACGCAGATCTCCATCTTCAGATGCTGGTTTCCGTTCTCCGGACGGCCACTGCCTTCGCCATCTCCGTGTTCAGGTCTCTTTTCTTGTTTCTGTCGTCACCTGCGATCAAGACGAAGACTTGTGGGCTCTCTATCATTCCAAAGCTGATTCCTTCCAGACATTTGAATTCATTGTCGCCTGAGCCGATGAACGAGGTGCATAACACGGATGTGCTCCTTAGTTCAACACGAGGGAGTTGGAACGTGAAGAAGACGCTGGAGAGAGTAGACGAGAGTATTCAGGGCCTCGAAACAGGACTCGACTCCATTTTCAAGTGCCTTGTCCAAAACAGAGTCTCTTTTCTCAACATTCTTACAAACAACGGATAGCTAATCCCTGTTTTTGTTTTATTCTGTAACTGTACAAAGACACCGATCAAGATTCTATAAATACACAGATCGATCTTGTCAATCCAAAAAGTTTTCCAATACAAAGAGGCACATAAAGGGCTATTGTTTACGTATGGTCCAAGGCGAAAGATCCAAGCTAGAGTTTCTCTTTTGCACCTCCTCTATCTCTCTCTTTAAAATTTTGGAGAAGAGTGGCAGTTCCCCTTCGAGACCTAAAATCAATATCATATACTAAGACCTGCTGCTACTACCACTCTCAAAACGTACCAAAGGCCCTCAACATACTGACATGAATATTTCCACGGCAAATATCCATACCTGATTGATCTACAGAGTTCATAGGCAACCAGTTTTGGATGGATATATACTTTGGGAAGCCCATTGTCCCCCCCCCCCTGAAACGACCGTCCAAGGGCCCATACTAACAATGCAACCAAAGGGCATTTACATACGACCAACGTTACAGAGTCGTACCCTCTTCTTCCCTGCCCACAACCTCTGCCTCTTTCTCTCCAGTTGGCACGAACCACTTCGTTCCAACCATCCCCTTTCTTTTAGAATTACATATAATGTGTACATACATATGTTTATTTTTCCCTAATCATACTCCTTATGGTGCATAGATCAGGGATTTCATTCCTTTGGCCTATAGTTTTTAAATGCTTCACTTAGTCGTAGCTGTCAGCATCTATTGAACTGCTTTCTGTCCTTAACCTGCAAGATAACGCCACTCTACCATCAAATATTGCCCGATTCTGAGATTATTGGGGAAATATATAACGCAAATGAATGCTTGTTGTTCCTCACATGGTGGAATTCCAGAGTTCCTTCAATCTGTCTCTCCACATGGCTGAAATTAGATTTATCCACAGTGTGAGCAGCCTTCTCTTTTTCGGAAAACCAAGGACAGAAGACAAATGCACAAAGAGCTCTTAAGAGATACATAGATGGTATTTACATATACCTGCATCGCTATACCGTTCCTCTTCAGCCGCCAAATTCATATTTCTCACTAGCTTAAGCTCCTCCGACAATGGATCTGGTCCTTCAGGAGCACTGTACAAGACAGCCAATGCATGTTTACAACTGTCACAACAGAGCGCTACCAAAAGAGCCATGACAAATTAAAAAAAAAAAAAC